TGTTGAAATATAAATTTCGATCATTTTTCTCTATTCACATTTTATTCACAGTCATTGACTCCCATGATATCTATAATGCAGAATTAATTGGCTATCCTTTTACAGCTCCCCTGTGGAAGTATTTTAGTGGTTCTGCAAGACACCCCCACCTTTTTTTTATGTTTAAAGCATTTAGCACAGCTGGATTTCACTATATATGAAAACTTTTAGAGCATTATTGTGTCACTAATCATTGACACTGCAACATTTCAAACTTTATTCTGTCCTAGCTATGCTGCAGCAATTTGGAGGTGGGGAGATAATGAAAATTCAATATGATTTATAAATATGCATATTTTGTAAAGTATGCACTTTACAAAAACTTGACTTTTTCCTAATTTTAAAACAATGCTTATGATTCTAAACTAACTGATTTTTTAAAAATCCCTCCATTTTATAATGCTGACAACCAACAATTTGTATAGCAAATTAACTAATGAATTAGCAATAAAATAAGGAAATTATGATTGTAAATCTAATTATGCTAATATAATTTTCAGTGATATTTAGCTCTGAATAAAATACTTAGGATTATGTTGAATTCATGAATATATTGCAATGAAGGTTTATAATCATTAAACATTTTATATTCCAGAATATGTTACCCTGTTTTTTCATATTGTTACCAAAAGGATTACTATTGAACACTGAAGTATAGATTCTGCTAGTGATTCAGAAACAAGATAAATGCCAGAAACGTTTCGGCTCATTCATTGGAACATAAGATCTTTTATGTCAGAGGAGGTTCTTATCTTGCCAAAGTTCATGAGTAACATGTAATTCTCTTACACATTCATAGATAAAGCATATTTATAGCCTTAATAGTTCTGAGTACTTCTCAAGTGTGTATAAAGAGAGACAGAGAGATTCACAGAGTGAGAGATGTTCAGAGTGTTAAACATGGTGTTTCTCTCTATCCACTGAATGAGGATTAGTCTGAAGAAAAGCAAGCATTTCATTTCCCATCAGCCTAGGGATTGTAATGGGAGGGAAATAGGAAGCTTCACAGTTAATTTCTTTCCAAGATCCTATTGCCTTGTCTGCTTAGTTTATATTTTACAGGGCTTTATTGATGAAAAATACTTTTGTTCATAATGCATCGCAGCCAGCATTTAAGTCCTGAAGGAAAGAGGTGAAATCAGTATCAGTTGCATGTCAGTGTCACATGGCACTCCCCTGTAAAGCACAGAATTTTATTATGCTTTGCTTTGGGAGGGTTATTTCTAGCCTAAGAAAGCTGGAACATTTTTTCTATAGAAGGATTACAAAGAGTATTAATAATATAGCCCTTACGCTGTATTATTAAATGGAGGGGAGGTAACTCCCAAAATTTCCTAACCCATGCCAGTGAAGACAGTTCTTTGTAGGTGATGTTAAAGAACCTTCTGGAGAATAAATCTCACACTGTGCAGGATGAATTGGGACTGATGGATTTAGGACAATGCCATGGTCTCGAGGCAATAGGTTGTTTTCCTATGGATCAAAATCAGGCTCGGTGTCATGTAGATACCAAGAAGGTTCATGCCTAAACACTTGCCTTCTAACTATAAACATATAAAAGGGCAGAAGCCTTAAGAAGTGGAGGAGGAAGTTGTTGGACATTCCTAGAGTTGTTTTTGTATGGCGTGGACTGGTGATATTGTTTATATCAAGGAGGAATAATCTGCAGTTGGAGACCCAGCAGGAGCAAGCAGGAGCCAAGACAGTGATCTGTTGAGCGAGCTGGCTGGTAGAACAGACTATGGTTTTCAGAGAACAGATCAGAGGTCAGCAAAGATAGCTTGAGAAAGGTGCTGGAATCCAGAGAGCTCAGAAAAGAATTATTTTTCCTTCTTCTCATTCTCCTCCCTCGGGTAGAAGCAAGCCCAGAAGTGAAAGCACAGAAAGAAGCTGCATAAGGGAGGGAGTGAAACAAATAAAACACTGTAAAAAGCTCTGTTTGGAATTGCCTGTATAGAGCTGTATATATATAGTTTGCTAAGCTAAGGCCACTTATATATTAAATATCACTGTAAACAGAGAAGAACCACGTGTATATATCTGGAAAGTTCCTGTCCCTTTTTCCTATCCTCTGACATGCATTCTTAGTAATATTGCTTTACAGATCAAAAGGGGGGGGGGAGTGCTGAAGAATTACCTGTCCTGGGCCTTTTATTCTCCAATATTTTTACTAAGAAGGATTGATGTCTGAGATAGCAGTAGTTGCTTACAGAGCCCATAACTCTTTAAAACATGCTTGCTAAGCTGTCTTTTTTATTACTTTTTTAAAAATTGGGTAACTTCCTTAATAGATTGTGGTAATGCTCTAGGCATAATATATCTTGATTGCAGCAATGTAGTTAACCAAGTATTTTGTGACATTATGTTTAGCAGGCAAATTAAATGCAAGCTGGATAACTTAACAATTAAGTAGCTTCATAGTAAGCTCAAATGTAATACAAAAAGAGCTCTCATTAGCAAATTGGAAAAAGTCAGCAAACTGGAAAAAGATGTTGATTGGAGAACCACAGGTATCAGTTCTGGGTCCTGTATTCCTCAATATTTATATTAATAGCTCAAATGAATAGGTGGCGCAAAGGTGCAGATAACACAATATTGCTTGGGGTAGCTAATATCCTAGAAAATGGAACTAAAATTCAAAACCATCTTGATCAGTTAGAAAAATGGGCTGAAAGTAACAGAATGAAATTTAATAGATAACAATGCATAGTTCTTTGCATTAGGAAATAGAAATCAAATGCATGGGATGAAGGTTATCTGCTTGGTAATAGTAGTTGTGAAAAATATCTTTGAAGAGTAGCTGATTCCAAACTGAATATGAGTTAGTACTGTGATGTGGCTGCAAAAAAAGCAATTGCAATTTCAGACTGTATCAACAGAAATATAGTTTCCAAAACGCAGGAAGTCCACTTTAAGATCACACCTCAAATAATAAGTCCAGTTCTGGGGGCCACAGTTTAGGAAAGATTCAGGGAAACTAGAATGTATTCAGTGAAGGGCAGCAAAGGTGATCAAGGTATTGAAGGAACTGGCAGCCTTGAGAAGAGAAGACAGTGAGGAGAAATGTGATAGCAGTCTTTAAATGCCTAAAAGAATGTTATACAGAAGGTTAAAACCTAAATTTAAGTTACATGAAGGCAAAGTCTAAATCTATATAAGGAAGCTTGTTTTTCTAATCATAAGTTCCACAATGGAATGAATTATCAAAACTGTTGGTAAGTTCCCTTTTGCTGGATGTTTTTTAAATGAGCTAAATATGTGGGATATTGCAGTCAAAACCAACAATTCATGTATTGCTAGATAGGCACATGAAAGGAGGCAGAGGCTCTGTGAAATCACTTCCTTTCTACTTCCTCTTCACCATGCTTTCCACCTGAAGGCACGTGTCTGAGCTCTTCAGCTCAGACACCATTTTTGGCCTAGTTTAGTAACTTAGTAGTTTAAATCTGCCTTTATTTTACTATTGTAACTGCTGTTTGAAACCTACTTTATGTGAGTAAATATTACTTCTTTTTCTTCACAAAACTGTGATTGTTATTTTGAGAGGGATAAAAAGGGGTAATACCAGGAAAAATCCAGTTTGCCTAAAAGCATCCTGGATTACTGTTTTCTAGAAGGTTAAACCAACCTTGTCTTAAGCTTCCAAGTTTATACTGCAAAAGGATGGTACTCTGCTAATCTCACTCACGTGATCAGAGAGGACAATAACTAAATAATATATCCTCTCCTAGTACCTAAATCCATTCCTTCAAAATAGGCATCTGACAAGGATTTCTATACTGAGCATGGGAATGGACTCAGTGACCTAAATAGTTTGTACTGATTCAGGCAAATTGTTTGTCTATTCATTCTTAACTTTTAAAAAATCTTCAGTTTAATATGTAGATATGAGGGATTGTATGAGTGAGGCCCACTCAGCTATGGACTCTGTTAATTATCTGTATAATTTCTATAAATGAATAGAGAATATACATTTGGGCCTATAACTTCTACAGTCTTTGCTATTTTTACAGATTTTTTTTCAGGAACCCAAATCCACAAATCACCATTTACTTAAAGGCCTTAGATATGTCACTTCTTCCACCTTTTGTACTCCTACTAACATTATAAAGTCCTTCAACGGTTATCTTGTATTGTAGTAAAGATTGCCGTATATGTCCAGCAACTTATCTAGTTGCTTAGGTTCTTGGGATGCCTAAGAGTAACCACAAAAAAAGGTGGAAATTCTTTAAAAGGCAGAAATTCAAAAAATTGCCCCTGGCATAGGGAAAAGGAAGGCTTTGCTTGCTAAACATTCAGCAGCCATGCAGGTTTTAAATGTAATAAACTCACCATAAGAAAAGATGTAGAGATGAGAACTCTACAGAACTGAGATATTTTAAGTCAGAGAACTACTTAAAAAAAAAATCTTAATGTGGTTACAAGCAGCATTTCTATGTGGTAAATATATATTTATAATAACCCCTTTAAATCCAGATTCCTTCAATAGAATTATTAGGTTTGTAAGTGAATGTAAGAGAGTTAGGAGAGGGTGATATTGGTGTATAATATGCTTTTAATAACTACATCTGTTTAAGTGTAAATTTGTTTTCCAATTATAATGGCAATCACATATGGTCTAGGACCATTAAATCTGAATAAAATTTGATTTGATATGGTGGTAATTTATTCTTCCTTTACTTAATTTTTATTGATTAGAAACCAGTCAATAACAAAAGGCCCCACACACTCATGTTTTTTTCTCAGGAAGGCAAAACTGGGATCCATGAAAGAAAGAATTTTATAACATGACTTTATTAGAATGACAGGATTACCTGATATAAAAATCTAATGTTTAAGATGACTATACAACACAAGATGTATACCTTCCAGTTTATTAAAAAGCATGGCTGAGCCTTAAATTCTACTTGGTGGATAGCATTGCTTTTCATTTTGTATTTTGCCTTTTTGTGTCTCCTCAGATATCTTTTGATTTAGCAGAATATACAGCGGATGTTGATGGAATTGGCACTTTACGATTGCTAGATGCTATCAAGACATGTGGTCTCATAAACTCTGTAAAATTCTATCAAGCCTCAACAAGTGAACTTTATGGAAAAGTGCAAGAAATACCTCAAAAGGAGACTACTCCATTTTATCCCAGATCCCCTTATGGTAGGTATATTAACCCTCTTGACAGATTCCAAAGAGTCTCTTATAAAAGGATGCAACATCACAAATTGCGAGGTTGCAATCAATTTTAAACATGTTATTTGTTGGTGCAGTAATCTAAAGGTTTAGCCTATTTGTCTTGAAGGGTTTTGGAAAATGAAAGTCGTCTTCAAGTACAGTTTGATTTCTGATGATATCAATAATGTATCTATGTAGCTTTTATACTGCAGTATGGAAGTGGTGTACAATTGTGTCCTCCTGGGTTATTTTTGGACTGGAGAGTTCCCATCCACGTACTACCCAGTAGCTTCTGACCCAGACGAGGTTATCCAGTTGCTGCCAGGCTTTTGTACAGAATGCCAAAATAAAGTTGCTGTTTTTTTTAAAGTTCTATTTTATGTAGTCATTTATTTCATTTTTTTAATCCATTACCTTTATCTTATCTTCTTCCCATTATTTTAATTGCAGAAAGACCTTTATCTTATCTGCTTACTATTTTTTTAATTGTAGAAAGACTTATTTGTTGGTTATTGATAAGCAGCATCTAGCTATTGTATGGGTACTTAATTTTTTTATTTACATGAACTGTATTTCTTACATGGTAATCTGGTATCATTCCTTGCTGGAAGTGAGCTAACATCACTATTGTGATAGTCATTGTTCAGATCCAAAATATGGATCTCTGTTTTCCTTAAAGACTTATTCTTCTGTTTTTTAATTGTAAAATGGTATTCAAGTGCTCAAGTTTTTGGATCACTTGAATGGATTTTATTTTATTTTATGGCTATCATACACTTTGTGATGAACCTGAATTAAAAGAGTATCTAGGTAAACAGCATGAAAACAAATTGGAAGTTAAATACTTTCTCCTACCTCCATCTTACATTTTTCAAGTAAAGATTATTCCACAGTGTGGTTAATAGTTCTGCTATTTAATGTTTTAATGCTTAAATATCAGTTATACCTGTGATAAAACATGATGGGAAAAGTCTCCTAATGAGAACCCTACAGAACTGAGATATTTTAAGTC